TCGCGAGATTCATGGGTAAAATATAAATTCAGTTTTTAATCGACGTTTTCCTCGGCGTCGCCGTCGTAGCTTGTTAAACTCCCTAATTTCTTCAGGGATAGCCCATGGTAGCCCTTTTTTTCGCTAATATAGATTAACCTACCAAAATATTTACAAACAGGTGTCCTGCAAAGCAAAGTCACAAAATAGTGACTTATACATTCTGAAACTTCGCTCTGTTCAATCTATGTCACACAATATCCTAGTTTGAGCCCAGAAATGCGCCGTTGAGAGGTTTAGAAGTATAATTATACTTCTGTGGATAAATTTTCAAGATCCTAGCGAGCGGATGAAAATCCCCCAAATCCGTTTCCTCAAAATTCCTTTCTCTGTACACTTTTTCAAGAGACATTTAAAACAGTGACTCATTCAAGATTTAGACCTTTCGAAAGGGGAAATGCCATTTTAAAACCTGGTATAAAAATTGCTTTCGGGCTATTCATGAGCTAGTGCTGAGCTCGAGCACTATATAACTCTCTCAAAGTCCTCAAAAACCATTAACCTGTCAATATTGATACATTCCCACATCGAAATGACCAAAATTCTAGGAATTCATTGTGGAGACCGTGTGTAATCAGCGCAGGTCGCGGGTCGGGAGTCGCGGGTCGCGGGTAAACGTCGCAGGTCTCGGGTAAACAGTGTGGGTCACGCAAAAAATAATTATAAGCCAAAAACCTGAAATAAAGTTTTTCATGAGGCAATCAAATTTTCTTTAAAAAATTGTAGTAAAATAAAAAAAATAGAATAAAAGTAAAAACCTTAACATTGGTCGAAATTTCGTATGCAAGGTAAGTAGCCTGTTAATGGCTATAAGCTTAATCTTTTTGCGGCCCAAAGCAGCCTACTATACCGTATTCAGAGCTCAGTTTAAGTCAAGAGGCTTTACTGTTCGCTCAAGTGCATGAAAGCGCCAAGAAATTATATGTGCCAAAGCTATAGTCGTCCATTGATCGCAATGCTTGCGAGGCATTAAACTTGGCAGCTTGACCGTGTTGTTTAATTCAAGTTTGTATTCGCCCTTACACTCTTACCGGACTACCGTTAAGACATTCAAGCCATCCGCCTTGATAAGGTGGCTGAATCGCCGATAATTTTGAAATCGCGTCGACATGCACGATTTGCAAAGTCTCGCAATATTCAGCGGTTGAGAGAACCAAGAAACAAAGAATACAAACAAAGGACATGACTGAAAATACGATTCACAGAAACCCGAATTGAGCATATGCCATAAGCAGGCTTCTTATAATTATCTCGCATACTGTCTATTCCATTCCGCCATTCTATAGAATGGCGCCGCACATATTCCGCCACAATTTTAAAATCTCAATACTTCTAGGTCCACGACGATAAAAACAAATTTGTTTTTTAACGTATTGTTCTTTAGACCCGAAAAAGAAATTTCGAACAGTGCTAGGGTTTTGGGAGTTTTATTTTTATCTATTTATTTATTTTTTTATTTTATTCCTTTTTAGACAAAAAAATATCGGTTCCGTAGGTTCCGCAAGTTCCGCGGTCTGCAATCTGTAGTTTAGTAACACCCACCCTTGTTGTGCAAGAGTAAAGATTTGTTCATGAGTAAGTAGTCTCGAAGTTTGAGTTAGAATTCTTTACTATTGAACGCTAGAAAATGGTTAAGCAGAAAGTCATATATTTAGCTACATTTGATCCCTCTATTCTCAGTTTGTACGTCTTGTGTATCTTTCACAGCGTTTGTGCAACTTTCATTTCGTGTAATTACGTCAACATCAACGTGCGCATTTTGTTTAACGACGTTCCGTTTGCCGTTGCCGTCGTGGTTTTCTTAAACACGGCTCCTTACAACTAATTAACAACAGCTTCAAACGAGAAATAAGTAAAAACTAGCAATTTGTATCATTGACACACATCAGAAACGGCACTTTCACCTTGGGTTCACTGGAAGAGACTGTGCAGCGATTGTCGTGTAAAATGAAAAAGCAAAAATTGTCAAACATCAAGACTGCGTCTCTATTATCTATGAAATGCCTTCACGCATTGACTTCTTATTTCTTTGTTTCATCTTGCAATGTCTAAGTTTATGAATCCTATTTTATTTTTTACCTGATGATGCGTGACCAATTTCATGACTTATATTATATTGCCTAAAAAGACAGCACTGAATTAATAATAACCGATGAAAAAAAACTCAAGGAATGTTATGATTCATTGTTTCCAAAACGTTATTTTATATGTGGACATAGGTGGACTACAGATGACAGAAAAATAGCTGAACATTATCTATGACGAGAAGGAAATTCAAGCTGCGAAATGTGTATCAATTAAAGACACCGCAAGTTATACGTCAAGGATGGAAACAAAAGCTATGAATCTTTTGTTTTGTTGTTTTTTTAAGAAAAGTTACTTCATGTTTTTACCAGCTTTTGTATATACAATGAACGGTAAACAGTAATTTTATATGCGATTTAGTCCGATGTGTTATCATTTCAACTTCGATCGAAAGGACCGAATGCATGCATGGTCAAAGCTGTCGAGATGAAATTCGTTTTGCTTTTTGCTCTCTTGGCTTATACTAAGTTTTCCTTGGGTAATACAACCGGTGCTGGTCAGGTAAGTTGAGGATTTGATATCAACCAGAATAACATATTATGCAGCCTTAAAACCTCATGGGATAATCGAAGGAAACGATTTCTTACATAGTACGTTCAAAAAAGTGCATCGGAGTTTATCGTCAGTTTAAAGCTATTCAATCTTTTACAGCCAACTGTTATCAAAGTGGAATTCCGATTTTTCGAACCTCGAAGGAAAATGGATAGCTTGAGAAATTGGTGGTATAAGAATTACAGTGTTCGACTGACTAGAGGGACACGACTTTTGGTTCACTCGAGTTAACGGGAGGTTCGAAAAACTGAGGGTTCGAGAAATTGGAATTCCACTGTAATTTTACAGCAAACTGTATACGTATATGTGAAATTCTTATCCTCACGGTCTGATATCCATCGAAGGTGGATCGTATGTATCGAGTTTTATCTTCGAGAAAAAGGGAATGAAATATTTTCTACCAAGACACCAGAAATCTAACGGCAGCTTCATTTCTATTCAAGAAATTCAATGGACGCTCCTTGAAAACACTGATTTTTCGATTCCCCGTCAAAAATAGTGAAATTGTTCAGTCAGAATGCTATCGGGGTCTTGTTTGGCCTTGTTTAGCAAAAGTAAAGATTTGTTCATGAGTCGTCGCGAAGTTTGAGTTGGAATTCTTGAATATTGAACGCTAGATAATGGCACAGCAGTAACGCATATATTTACGTTAGCTACAGTTGGTCCCCCTATTCTAAGTTCATTTGTGAATCTTATCTATTTTCAGTCACAGTGTGCAACACCGTGTAATCCCGTCAACATCAATGTGTACGGTAAAGAAGGCATGAAGGTACAGTAACAGTGTCAGTTTTTCTTCTGTAGTTCCATCTACTTAGACCGCCTAAAACTTAGGCCATACTCAGCAACATTTCTGGTATAAAGAACCCTGATTTCAAAATATGTTACTTTTCAGTGCGAGGAGGGAGAGAAGGGAGAGAAGGGCGAGAAGGGCGAGAAGGGCGAGAAAGGAGAATTAGGAACAAATCAGTGTAAATGCCATTTACAGGTAACTTGCATGTGCGTTCTCTCCGCTTGTGAATTTCAATTTAAGGCGCTTTAGTTTCTGAATGCCTTTTAGTCTAAAGATTTTCACAGCTATTCTGGCATTTCCTTTATCTTTTATACTGACACAGGATCCAAAAAAACCTTCTGCCCACATTGAAGCTGTCAATAAGAGAGCCATTGTGACTTACCAAGCCAACACAGGTATTCATGCTCAGTTAATTCTCCTCTTTGCAGAATGTGATATCAGGGATCTCAAATTCTCAGTTCAGGAGTTACCTCTGGTCTTTTTGAAATTGAATTTGACGTTATAAATAACTAATTGCAAAAACAGACTTTAGTCAGTTGATAAATCAAAGCACAGGAAGGTAAAAAAGCACTAGTGTCTGCGAACGTATTTTCATTTTGAATAACGAGTTTTATTTTAATTTTCTTCTAGTGATAAAGGACTGGTCTGTCAGTGCCCCTCACAGCCACCTGGCAGGCGGCATGAAGTACCATGACGGAAAGTTGACTGTGCCCACCCCTGGACGGTACTACGTATACACACAACTTTACTATCACTCCGTCGGGAGAGTCCATGTTCGTGTGAACAACAAAGGCGTTACCATGATACAACCACTGAATTCAGTAACCGGCGGAGGTGCTCTGTACGCTGGAGGGGTGTTTAACCTTAAGGCTGGTGACGCCATCTTGTTGGCTGTGAGTGCTTCCATCAAACTATTCATGGGTACTGATCACAGCTATTTTGGGGCGTTTTTGATATGAGTTTCATTCATAGAGAGATCGGTGTAGTGCCAAACTAAGCTACGCCATTCATCGATAAGTTTTTGTTAGTTCGAGTTACCTTGATTACTTTGCTCTCAAAATAGTCTCAGTTGTTATAGATGGCTGTAATTTTTCATCAAAATAAACACATCAATAAATGAAAAGGATGGTCCTTGATGTTTGTGGATTACTGTTTTAACATGTTGAGAGCCAAGCGGATCAACCAGCGCATGAAAACACTGTAAAAGTAAATATTTGGAATCAGCTTTCTTCTCAAGTTACTCTTCCATTAAATGATTCTTAAACCCCAGATTATGTTCAAAAACATCCAGTGGGTTCGCGCATCTCCATATCCTGAAATTTCACTTCATTCTCATTTCACATCCCCCAATTTTTGTGTCCACAACGCAGTCAAAACAATTTAGGAATTAACAACAAAGAAACTTTTGGTAAAAGTGCTAACGGTACTTCATCTACGCACAAATTTACTATCACTCCCTTATGAGTCGATGTTCGTGTGAACAACAATGTCTTAATCATCATCATACAACCACTGAGTTCAGACCATGGTGCTCTGTACGCTGGAGGGGTGTTTAACCTCAAGGCTGCAGGTGACGTCATCTCATTGGATACAAATCGAATGTGGTTTAGCGTGGTCTCTACTCTTATCGACAACGATACGCGTCATCGCAGTGGTCAAAATGTTGTGGATTCACGAGGAGCAGCCGAGTGAGTCCAGAACAAATTTTGACCAGCGTGATGACGCATATCGTTGTCGATAAAAAGAGTACAGACCACACTAAACCACATTTCGATTTGTTTCTTACCACAACATCAACGTCAAAGGAAATGTTGTTTTTTTTTTTTCCAGAGCGCGAGCTAAAAAAGGCATTGGGCGACACATTGACTCGAGCAGCTTGGTCTGGACTCATATCGAAAATGGCAAATTATAGCCAATCAGATTACGAGATTAGTAGTTGTGGTAAAAATGCATTTCCATCACTTTTACTTCGGTGCGTTTGTGATTTGAGTTTCATCAGTCGTTGCATTCTCGGTGTCGTGAACGGAACTGCACCATATCCTTATGAACTGAGGGTAAGGGTTTCAAAGCTTGGTAATATTTTAGACCACATTGTTGTCTGGTGTCGCTGATAGGCTCTTTGCAGCTGGGGTCACGTGACAGAATGTTTTGCTGAAAAATGTTTATATTATGGGCTATAACTTAAAGAATGCCAGAGATGGAATGAGCATATCAAAAATTATTTACCTATGATTTGTGATATGACGTTCTTTGGCTATGGCAAATAAACTGTATAAATTAATAGCCTCAAACTGTAAACTAATAGTTTTGGTAGGTTTGGTATGTTAAAAAAACAAAACATTCTAGGGACAGCATTTCGCGCCTTAGCTGTCAGGTAGGCGTAAAATTGGTCTCCCTTCAGCAGGGGCGAAAACAAATGAATTGATCGCAAAGCACCTGCATAAGAGAGGGGTTGTTCTCGTTAATACATGTATTGTGGAATTTTAGTTACGGCCGGTCAGTAAAAAACATGGACTGCAGTCGGGAGGCCGCATTTAGTCCGCGGTCCCCATTTTATACCCGAGTCCGCACGCGTTTTATGCCCAGTCCGCGTTTTATACATAAGTCTGTGTTTTACACCCAGTCCGTAGTCTGCAGTCCGCAATCCGAAAAGCAGCATTGGTTTCGGTCGCAGAGAAGAGGGTACACAACACGCTGCCAAACTACAGCTTTCTGTGGGTTCGAAAAGTCGTACACATTTCGTTAAGACATGTCTGCAGGGTTTTTAAATGCCACACTGACTTCGAACTTTAAATAAACAACTTATCCGCTACAGTCTTCGATAAGCTGCCTCGAAAAGCCGTACACATTTCGTGAAGACATGTCTACGAGGTTTAAATGCCATTAACATTGACTTCGAACTTTAACTAAACAACTTCAGTATCCGCTAGAGTCCACAATAAGCTTCCTCGACACTCGAAAGTCCGCAATATTGTGCAACACTCGAAAGAAAGCACATGGACGAACATGGACATGACGTTATTCGCCCCTGAAGAATTTTTTTTTTT